CTCTCTATGCTGGACGGTGGCTGCATCGATGCAAAATGGTTGTGGCAATTCCTCAGCCACCACCACCTCAGGAGGGGGGTGAGTGTTTCAGGCATCTGTGTGATATGTATGTTATATATATATATATATATATATATATATATATGTGTGTGTGTGTGTGTGTGTGTGTGTGTATGTGAGTGTGTGTGTGAGCGTGATAATGGGTGAGAGTGTGAGGGAGAGAGTTGTCACTGTATCTGCACCAAGGGGAGAAGGTGTTTTGAATGTAAATTAAGTATTTCAGGGTTACCCTTGCATTACTTGAGTATGTGTGTGTGGGGGTGGGGGGGGTGAGCTCAGCGCCTTGATTTCATTCATAAATAAACAGACGGCATCATATCATCATATATGTTTATGTCTCAAAATGCAAAGTTACTCATTTTTTCCCACATATGTTGCAGCATATTGCCAGCCACTCTGTAGTGTGTGTATGTGTGTATGTGCATATGTGTATGTGCATGTGTATACGTGCGGAGGGCTCCTTAAGCCACGGGTAGTGGGTCGATCTCGAAAGGTCTCCCATATTCTAGTACGAGACACCAGAGTACCCTCAGGAATGTACCTCTTTCAATAATGCTAATGGCAATGACACTGTAATTACAATGTTAACGTCTACACTGATACAAAAGCAAGTCCTCCATAGGTCGTGCTTGGCTTTTTACATTCATGCGTCTCTCTGTCTCTTGGTGTGTTTGCACTGGTTTCCATGGATTTTGAGGATCAAAGAGAAGCAGTTTCACTGACATTCTCCTGTTTTTGTCCCCCCTCTTGACTGTTGCTGGTTGTGCCTGTAAGCAGGAGGCTTAAATCAATGGCCAGATTTCATTCATAAAGCCTGGAGGACACACCTGAATGAAGGAAATACTTTATCACATGGTAATATTAATGCTGCCTAACTGTGGCTTGTCCTCAAATATCAAATCAGTCAGTTGAGTTGATTTAGGCTGATACAATACCTGTTTTAAATTATACTGAACAAACCTCTGGGCACCACAGTCAAATTGAGGTAATAATTAGATTGAAGTATCTGCAGGATTACCTCACCACCACTGCCCATTAAAGCGGTATGATGTGCGTTTGCGCTTGTGTAAATGTGTTTGTGTGCTTGCAGGTACCTAATCAGTGCTTACCAGGCGTGTTAACAGAGCCACAGACAGACACTGGGAAACACACAAGTCAGTGTATGTGGCCTTTTGCTTTAAATTTGATCTACTGCGAGGTTACACTTTCTGCAAACAACATCTTAGTAGGTGTCTGAGTGTGTTGTGAGTGTGGCTTGTTAGTCTATGAAGGCCAGCATGTGTGTTCATTTCTGTGCGGCAGGCCTCTTCAATTTTTTTTTTTGCTCCTTCTTAGAGGTCAACATTCAGCACAATGTCAAGGACATGTGACATTCTGTCACTTTGACAAATGTGGACCAGTGATGACTGCTCTCATTCGTCCACACAAACTGACACCAGGCCAGAGTCAATGGACACTATTTCTCACACCATTATTTTCTGTAGAATTAATATAGAAGCAGCTCTTGTTCATAGGTTATATTATTTTAACCTAAGCTGTATGATTGTGTCACTACACATTTGTAGGTTTATGTTAATTTACTTTAACCCTCTCTATTTAGCTTTTCTAAGCAGAATATGAACATTTAATACATTTATTTTACATTTTAATGTAGTGGTAAGTGTTTACTATGACTCCTCCTGGGGGCGGGTGTACAGTATAAACTGAGTAAATGAGAATACAGTATACACTGTATCATAACAACTGTGTATACACTGTATACACAGTATAATATGTCTTCATCTGATAAGTTAATTATTGACAAAGTATGTACCTTAATAAACACAAAAAATGCAAATCATTTCAAAATATAAGTAATGTGTTACCTAAGACTTAACATTAACCCCCTACTAAGCTTTTATAAGAAGTATATGAACATTTAACAAACAGTTTATAAAACACTATACTGTAATTATAAGCAACTCCTCCAGTGGGTGTAGATATATATGAATGATAATGAAGAAAAAAATGCTTGTTTTAATGATATAAAGCATGTCTTCACAGGAGAAAACATAATGTTTGTCAAATACTATAGATCAATAAACACTGAAAAGTCATTACATGTGCTTATAACTACTTTACAGATTGTTATTAAATGTTTTGCAAATGCTAAATAGGGAGGGTTAAAGGAACATGTTACCATTCATTTATTTATTGTTTTGCTTCCAGGCAGTGTACAAATCACAACCACAAGCAAAATCATTCAGGAAGCTTTCAAATCGAGTCATACAAGAATGTTCCAGTTTCATGCTGTGGTCTTTCCAAACTCTAATGACCGCCTCAGTGCACTCTATATCACATTGCTCATCCCTAGTCTTATGCAGCCAGATGTGCTCCCTTGGATATGAATGAGCTTTTGTCAGGCTACTGAATGGCCCCTGTGTCATGTCAGCAGACTCAAACATGTACCGTGAAAAAAGCCCTCCATTCCTTTTTACAAGGATGAAATTTGTGCATTTCTGTGTAATGTAGATTTTCCCATTTTCTATTTGATGTTATTCTTGTATGGACCTTTTCAAGTTAAAATTCTATACTGACACTATGAGGTATGGCATAAAAAACCGATTGAAGTGAAGAATTGAGGCTTTTGTTCCCCCACTGCTGTCAATGTGATACTGTACGTTCAAGGAGGAAGCTAGATTATCCTCCAGCTGAATCTATTATGATCTTATTTCGATTCAAATCAAGTTCAGTGGACTTCCTGTGGTTCAGCAAAGAATGAGCCGCTGTCGGTCCATAGAAAAGTCAAATAGCACTGGGATGAACAGAACGGGTGTCATTTGGAATCAATGCATTTTACACTGTACCCTTTATGTCCCTTTACAACATGTCCTCTGTTACCCTTCAGGGGCAAGCCGGGAAAAATAAAAAAGCCAACTGATTAGAGAGTTCCTATATACTGAAAACTAATTTTGGATAAACTGCAACTTTACACACTCAAATTGACTTGAATAAAAGTGGCAATATCCAAAAAACATAACACCGAAGTATAAATCCTGCATTCAAAGTTTAATGTCAGTTTTATAGTACCATTGTTCATTTTTGTGCTGTGGTATGTGGTAAATGTGTTAAACATTTTGTGTACTTGTCCCTATAAAAACAAATAAATAAATAAAAACAATATTAGCATTGAAATGAACTAAGAATATCAAAGATAAATCTGCTTATTCTGAAGAATGGCACCAGTCATGACTTTTGCAATCAAGAGTCATATGTGCATCCATAAAATCTTTGTAGGCAACGTGTAACCTTAATCTGCACAAAAAGATTTGAAAAATATCTTTACACTGCTTCCTCATTCCTAATTCTTCTTTTATACTGTATGAACATGACACATTTGGACAACAAATGGTCCTCCTCAGATAAGACGAGTAAATCTTTGGTTTAACCTTTAAAGTACAACTTCAGAATCAGAAAAATGGCTGTCATAAACTGTAGCCATGCAGTGAATTTTATAGTCTTGAATGTTAGCTTAATCTGCAAAATATTAGCAGCAAATACTAAGTAAAATGTACAATATATTTACATCCGGACAGAACTGTTTTCCTGTGCTTTCAGTCTTCATGCTAAGTTAAACTAATGGGCTGCTGGCTGTTGAGTCATATTTATTGGACAGACATGAGCTTAGTATGGATCTCCCTAACTAACTCTCTGCCAGAAATCTAATTAGCTTATTCCCTAGATGTCGAACTTATTTCTTTTGAGTGTATACATATGAATCTTGTGTCTAAGTCATTATGGGGTGTATTACATTGGGTCCATCGTATTGTCATGATGTTCAGTGCCCAATACCGGAAGTTCTACTACTGCTGTTATTGTAGGAAGTTGTAGGTAGGTGGTCAGTGTGGATTCTGTGAGGGTATAAAGCGCTGAACTGTTATATCTGAGACTGGGGTTTGCATCCTGAATGCTGTGTGTAGTTACTGTACATTTAGGCAATAAAAGCACTTTGGTAAAGGTCGGGGAGAGAGACTGCAGTTTCAGTTAAATGTTAAAATATATTGTGTCTCATGGTTTAAGTTACTTTTTAAATATTAAACCAAGACTGTGATTGTTTCCTAACCTTAGCTAAGAACTGTTAGTGCCTAAACATAAAAATGAAAACATGAGTCATGCTTTAGTTGCCGTGAGTGGATATTGTAGGTAAAACAAATCGAATACATTGTCAGGAAACATTTTACAGATTCAACAGGTTCAATATCAACATTTTGGGCCTTAGATATACGTACAGTTTCCTCTATCATGCTGATATAACATGTAAGTCAGCTGGCATTACTTTTCTGTCAATATGTATTTGCTGTGGGAAATTAGAAGGATATAAACCTAATTTCTTAGAGACAGGGTTATACATTTTCTATATAGCCTGAATAGAAATTGAATTTAATATTTGTCACATCGGATACATGAAAATTCAGAGAATATTGTATAAACCATTCAGGGTTTGTCATTTTTGGTTAGGTTTATCAAATACGAAACATTTGATACTCACCAAAGACTTACGTAGCCCTGCCCCAACTGTCCTGATTAGGATCAGGAGTGGTCCCTGGAAAGCTCCCAGGTGGACTCATGGAGTGCTCTGCAGTGTTGCCACCGTGACACCTTCCCTAAATCAATGCCAGCCGACTTGAGGCGCCACGTCTTCACTTTTGTCGCTCTAAGAAATTGTGTCAGTGTCGCCCTTAGTGCTAGCTGTTAAAGTAATTGATTTATTTGATTCATTTATATAGTGATAAGAGAGTTGTTATATATGTGGTGTGTTGAAGTGTGATACAGTGGTGGTTGGTTGTCTTTATTTGTGTGTATATGTGTGTGGGTCACATCCCATGGCTGCTGAATGATGGCCTCAGAAAGAAACAGCTGTATGATCCGTAAATTGTAAACACACAGGGATTAATTATCAGTGAGGTAACACACACACACACACACACACACACACACAAGGATGAATTAAATCTTGTCTTTTCATCTGTTTTCAGGGCCAGCAGACGCATCCAAAGATGTGTAAGTACATCAGTCATTTTCTAATGATTTCAAGTATTTATGAAGCTCATCATCTGTGCCCCCCCCCCCCCCCAGCCTTCCTACGTTCACACGACACAGTGCACCAACAAAGGAGCTCTATGTATGTAAACACACATACTGTAGTATTCACATCAAAATATTTTGCCACACTGACTGCACTGAATTTATACAACTCTAAATATACCATTTTAATCCAAAACTATTTTACAGTGAAGCACATAAAAAACATGCGTCATTAAAAGCATTAAATTGCTTTTCATTAAAACAAACAATTTGTGATTGAAACAAAAAACAGGACTGGAAACTGCAATCACTTTCCGAATTTTACAAGCAGTAAAGAATCTATATTCTGTCTATGTTCATGCTGTTTAAATATACTGCTATTTATATACACCAGTGATAATTGTACACGCTAATAAAATGAACTATATTATCCTATTTTTAAAGTAATTATAAGATAACAAACTGCTGATTTTTCTTTCTTATTTGTATGAATTTAGAGCTGATGTATATGGTCAAAAAATAAGGATTGGGACTTTGAGTATCTCTGCTTTACATGATTCAACTTTAATAATTAATTTAAAGTTTAATAATTAAAAGGAACAAGTCAGGGATGCACGGTTCCTTGCTTTTCACATTGAAATTAGCATTAGGCACTCTGCCTGTGACACAAGCTTCAACATGGACGCAATTAAGTATTTAAATTAAGATCTCTTAAATTAAGATCTATTGCAGACAGTAATATTTTTTAATTTCTTTAGAGAAGTGCTTGTACGAGATTCTGCTGCTGCAATATGCACAATTTGGTCTGTCTCCATCATTGATACAGCAGACTTTATGTATGTAATTTACTGTAATAAACCTACACCACAGACAAGATGATTGAAATACAGTTGTGTCATTTTTAATTTTGAAGTGTTTATTTGGAAACACTGAACTTTAAGCCACTGTATTTAACACTTATAAGCAGTTTATAAATGGTTTATAACACACAGTAATGTGGTAGTAAGCAGATATATACAAAGTTATGTCAAAGCATTGCTTCGGTTGGTTTTCTTTTGCTCCACGTGATATTGAATTATATAGTTTATTCATGACCTGTAATACAAATCTAATTGGGAAAGTAATTAAATTTGTGTGTGTGAGTGACCATTGACATTTTTCTGTGAAGTATCAGTCAGAGGACAGATTGTACTTTACTTAGCTTTTATCAAAGCTTAGGGAGGAGCAGCATTTCCAAAGCATTTCCTGGAATCAGTGTGTGTGTGTGTGTGTGTGTGTGTGTGTGTGTGTGTGTGTGTGTGTGTGTGTGATATTTTGCTGTGTAGTACAGTCCTAGCTGTGATTAGCCTCAGTGAGTCAGTAGTGTCCTGCTGTCAGCTCTCGTGGGTCCTGTGCTGGCTGCTCAGATGGTTATCAAGGAGCATACACACACACACACACACACACACACACAAACACACACACACACGCACACACATACAGAGATTACCTGTATGTGAAACAGAAGATTAAGGGAATAATACACCCCAAAAGTGAAATGCTTGTCATCATTTTGCTCACACTGCTGGAAAAGTAACACAGAGTAGATTAGGTGGTGCAGCTTAATGTCAGCCCTTAAAAAACAAACAACAACAAGAAAAACCCACTGAGGATCGTTGGAAGCTGGTTGTTCAGTGATTTGGTTTAAAACCTGAAATGAAAATAGGCAATCCAGTTTGATCATCAGTTGCTGAGAAACAGAATTGGCAATATTCCCCTACAGGGCTAATGAGGAGGACCTCAAATGTTTTGCAGCCATGTGACTGCACTTCCCCAATTCACTGTTTACTGCTTCTCATGAGTTACTTTGTTTGTGAGTTTTTGTTTTATTTTTCTTCTGTCCTTCATGCTCCTAAGAGCTGACCTGACCTGTGCTTCTTCTCTCAATCAGGACAGAAGATCCCTCGGTAGACGATGAGAAAAGAAGGTAATTTGCTAATTTTCTCCAAATTATTTTCTTCATTTTCTCCTTACGTTTTCAGTTTTCTGTTGGATTTTTAGATAATCTATGCATTTTTGTAAAGTGGAATTGCACTTGTTAGTGTACAGGTTATGGAACATTAATAGGCTTTTTCATGCAAGACATATTGACATGTCACAGTAGCAAAAGCACAGGTGTAACTAGTAAAAACAATTATAGCCAAATTCTGTTTAGCTGGCTGTCACCTTTCTGGGACATCGTTAATGTTATTAGCAACACCTGTGTTTTTCCTTCTACGACAAGTCAAAGAGTCAAAAAGGCCTGTAGTCTGTTTTACTCTACTAATCTCAGAAATGTAGTTATGTAAAATCAAAACCACTGTTACCAATTATTCTAGTTGGTAATAATATGTAATGAAGCAATCTAATTACCTATTTTCAAATTTGCAGTTTCAAGAGGATGGATAGTCTGTAAAATCATCAAATCCTACTTTTTTATCCTCATGTACCTGTAACACCTGTTCAAGTTCAGTGTTAGCACGGCTGATGCATTGTAGCAAAGGCAGCTAAAATCATTTGCTTTATCCACAGATTAGAGCCAAAATCATCCTTTATCTACAGAGATTACACTAAACGCATTGACTGGATGATTATAATGCTTATTTCTAATCATTTAAACACTTTGATGTCAGGACATCGCTAGCACCTAATTAACAACTTAATAACACCCCACAAAGCCTAATATGATTAAAGAAAATGTGTGATGTCTTTCAAGAAGAGTGGGAAAGATATAAAGAGAATCACCATAATTCATTATTCCTCTCCTCTCCTCTCCTCTCCTCTCAGGAACTATGGTGGTGTATACGTAGGTCTACCAGCAGACCTGACCACTGTGGCTGCTAGTCAGTCCAAGTCCACACGTAAAGGTAACATATCTCTAACACTGTAAATCCCATATTCTGTTAAATGACGTCTTTGTGCATTACAAATGGGTACACTGCTGGTGTGGTAAACTGTAGCCTATATTAAGATGGTACCACTGACATTGATCAGCGTCTTGTAGCGAAGCAGCTCAGGGCGTAGAGAGAAATAATCCCTGGTGGACGAACCACCACCCCATGAAACCGCATGTCCCCTGCAGCATCTTTGGTTTTCTCTGACCTTTATTTTTACTGAATCTTAATGAGAAGCATTTCCTTTTCTATTACAGTTTGAGTACTCGTATCTGTGAAGATAAATATGGTTCCATTGCTGATGGCAGGGTACAACAAAAGAAGCTTTATTTTCCTATTATGTGTTTTGTTTAAAACAATATGTGCTTTACAAAGGATTAATGTCTTTTTGATTTAGTTTGAAGTGCTGCATATACACTGATTTCCACAACAGCCTCATTCATTCTCTCTGTAAACAAACACAGTGTACAGTGGCACTGATTCATTCTTTTATGTAACTGCCTTTCTAACAGAAATGTCAATAGAAAACTAATATAAACCATGACATGTTGCGTTGTGTGTGACCTGTGTTAAGAAGTTACAGTGAACAATCTCCTGAAGGCTTTTTTTCTTGTCATGCTCGTCCTTGTGCTTGACGAGGTTAAATATAATGACGGATTGATTGATTGATTTTTTTTTTATATCCTCTGGCATAAATATTTACTCTTTTTTTCCACCAGTGTCTCCCAATTCACACTGCCGGGAAGAGTGTGTGGGTGTTTCTGAGCACAGTCTTGATACTGAGATGGATAGATACAAGAAGTAGAAATTTGTCGAATAATTGTCCCTATAAATATCTGTACTGACTCTGTTTTTCCCTCCTCTTGCAGACTAGCAGCTACTGAAGGGGACACAACACAGGTACTGTAAAGAAAAACACACACACACAAGTCCGCTTGTTCAGCTCTTAACACCGCCTGCTCGGGATTTCTTCTCTTTAAGTGAACAGAAACCGCTGCAAAGACTCATATGAAAGCAGGTGTCTTATATTCTTTGTCTCAACAGGATCCTGCATATTCATTCACCTAGAGACACTCACATTACAAGCAGAGAGCATGTAAGTGCTCTGATTCTGGCTCACCACACACTGGCTAAAGTCTCAGGCTTTAACACTTTTACTGAGCGAGGATGTGGACAGCTTGCAGGGGCTCTGAGGACGCTGCCTCATGGCGTCATGGGAGGCACATTGACGCAGGGATGCACAGCGGAGGTCTGCGTACGGCATCCATCATCATCACCCTTCACTTTGCAAAAAAAAGATGGGCATCAAAGCAGACAGGCACCCACCCTAGGACTCGCAGCTGCGGGCGGCGGCAGCGGGCATTGTGACAGCCATCTCGGCTTCTCGGTCATGGCACTGGAACGCTCTCTTTCTTTCTCAGGAGGAGACGGGGGAACCCAGCCAACTAACTCACTTACTAACTGTCTGGGACTCACACACATTCCCAGTGGCCCTCTGCAATAATAATCACTGCTCAGTTATTTCTCTAAAATGCCATCAATGATTCATTGTGTGGTGGAGACAGACAGTTAGAGAGACAGGGAGAAATCAGAGTTCCACAGAAGGCAGCGAACACATCCCTGTGAATGCATCACAGAACATCTCAGCGTTGTTGAAAATAGCTTTGATTTCAAATCAGGCACCAGAAAAGTCTGAAAATGACGCTGATTATAATTAACAGATCTAAGTGCTAATAACAGCAATGGGATAAGTTGATGATGTTTAAATTTTAAAATTTACTGTAGATGCTCCTAAACCTAAATGTCCTGAGTGCACCAACCAGGTAGTAGCTGTTGTTGTCACTCACCTTGTGCCCCAGACTGATTATATAACATCAGCATATGACTCACGATACTTAGAGGATCTCTCTCTCTCTCTCTCTCTCTCTCTCTCTCTCTCTCTCTCTCTCTCATGCTCTCTCTGCAGCATGTTGTTTCTTTTTCCCTGAAGATCTCTGCTGCAAGTGCTTCTGGGTAATTCATACAGCTCTTATAATGTTTCTCTTAAAATTTACAGAAACAGAATTGTCTCACAGTTTGTTCCTAGCTCGCAACATAAATGTGATCTCATGTGTAACAGCAAAAACAATTGTGTCTTTGAAGAAAAAAAAAAATGACAGGAGACAGGAAACATAGTAAGAAAAGAAGCAGAGATGTTGATTTTGGTTTTCCCCTCCTTCTTCATGCTAGTTTATTTTCACACTTACAGTTTATTGCATTGCTTTGTAATACCAGCACTGATTTTATTACAGAATATTTTACACTTTATGTGACAATCTGAATTGTGAATGTTGTTTTACTGTATGTAATCTGTTAATGATGAGGCTGGTTTTATTCTATATTATTCTTATTCTTAACAAATCCCATGAGAAAACTAAAACCAACAGTGTTTTTGTTTTCATTACTCATTGCAAGGTCTTCTTAGTGTTTTGTGTTTTCAAAGCTGCTACGTTAAAGGTCAAGAATGAATCTTCAAATTCAACAATGTGGTACATCTTCTCTTAGAAGGTTGCTACCCTGCCTGTGGCACTCTACCCCCATTTGTTCCTATAAAGATGTAAAATCTTAAAAACATGTCACAAATATAAGGCTAATTAAAAAAAAAAAAAAAGGTCTCTCACATCACAGGGGAATAAGATGTATCATGCTTTGGATACACACTTGTTTGATGATCAACTGATTGTTAGTTTTTGATATTTCATGGGATTTGTTGACAATATACAGAAAATAGGATATCACCAGACTAATCCTTTGACAGAAAAAAAAAAACACAAACACCACAGTGTCCCTGGAAAAAAGAAAAAAATACACTACAGCTGGGCAGTCATTAGGGGCCAAGGTCATTTTTCAGCCAGGCTCTTGACAGTTCTCTCGCCTAATGAATGTATAACATCCTTCATTCACCAGGACCCTAGAGGAGGGTGGAAATAGGCCAACTTTAAACACTTGAGATTCAAGAGATGCTTTTTCAAAGCTTCACGAAAAACTTCATACATCTGTGTGCATAAAACAAGGGATGTATTTCACCACGCCTGAATACAAGCTCACTGTTTACTGTTTAAGTCTGTTTTCTTAGGGGTGCAGTTCAGCCCTGCTGGCAGCCAAGCCATCGGTCACACTGATACCAAGGGATTTCATGTAGTGTCTTTTAATTGCAAACCATTTGTCAACTCACATTGTTGCAGCGTTTGCACTGTTCACCTGTGGTAGAGGTAGAATATACTGCAGACACAAAGAGCTGCTTTATGTATTTTGTAGTTTGTGTGCAGTGTGCCAACAGCACCACGGCACCAGATCTGATCAGAACCCCACTTGAGACATTATATTTTTACCCTCCTTTCTCCTTGATGTCTACATTTCCTCCCTGCTGCGGCTTCAGTTTTCCTGCATCAATCCCTACCAGAGGCCTTTGGCTTTTACAGCGTGTCGTGCCACCTGTCTCTCCCTCTTTTATCAGCCCCTATTTTGCCCTTTATGGTCGGTCCTCCTGTATATGATGAATGTCATTGCCTTTGTCCTATTCAATTAGTCTAACAGGGACAAGGGGGCAGAATGTGGATGAATAACAGTCTGAAGTGAAGTCCTCTACATTTAAATGCTGCTGTGGTGCATTGTGGGCTAGCTGTAAAGCTGTGCAGCATAGCATGATGTTTGAATGTAGTAAGGATGGGGATGCGCTTGAGACCAAAGCAAAGGAATATTTCGACATTTTGGGTAAATGTGATTAGAAAATGAATGCCACTCTCATGTCTGAATGGTAAATAAGAGGCTACAGCCGGAAGCTGGTTAGTTTAGAATAGCATGAAGAATGGTGACAGAAGCAAACAGCTAGCCTCGCTCTGTCCAAAGATAAAAAATCAAAATGCTAACACATCTAAAAATCACAAATTAACACATCATACAACACTCTGGTTGCCTGGCAACTTGCTCTTTTTTTTCTCTTTTTTTTTTTTTACATGTTTAACAAAACAGATACAGTGTATTGATTATTGAGCTTTAGAGGTTTTGACAGGCACTTTTTTTTACCTTTGGCCTGACCCAGGCAAGCTGTTTCCCCCTGTCTCCAGTCTTTATACTAAGCTATGCTAACTGACTGCTGATTGTAGCTTCATATTCATTTCTCTAAATTATTCCTTTAATGTTTGGAAATGTAAGATCCTTCATGTTTTGTGGCACACTGATGCTGAAAATGACAGAAACCACTTGTGGTCCATGCAGCTGTGAAATGTTTTAATTATTTACATGCCTATCAAGACATTGAAGAAGACCTGGAGTGGTCATCAAAACCTGCCAGCGTCTCTTTACTCTGCTGACTGCTGTATAACTTTATGATTAAAGAGGTAATGACTGAGGTGATTGGGTGGTTCAGTGATATTTTACAGGTGGTTCTTTCTCTCTCAACACCTGTTCTGTCTATCTTTCATTCACACAGACTCTTGAACTGTCACTCACACGTTCCTTTGCCCATCAAAAATGTCCACACACCCCTTCCTAAACACATCTAATTCATCATTGATGCTGACACGAGGAGGAAAAAAAAAAAAAAAAGCCTCGGTGCAACTCATCCATGATTATCTAATTCAATTATTTATGATTAAAGACTTTTATATTGTCCGCGCACAGCTGTGGTTATTGATTCTGGTCTTTGTTGAAATGTATCTGCCTTCTGTAATCAATAAGCCAGAACCTTGAGGGATTACATGTGTTCTTAGCGAGTGTTATAGACAGACTGCCTGACAAAAGTCAAGTAAGGATTGTTGGGGAGAACATTTGTCATTATTGAACTGAGGGCCTTTGCACAGCACCTCCTGCAACATGATCAATCACACAGCTCCATCTTGGTAATTGACTACACTGGGAATGCATGCAGGAGAGGGAAGGAGGAGCAGGTTGAGTTCCCCTCTCCCATCACACAGCAGCAGTTTGAGCCTCTCCTGTAATCCCACAACATATTATACAGCAGGTACAGTAACTAAGGGCACTGAAAAATATAAGATGTTCATGTCATAGTGAGCAAGATAAAACAGATTCACTAATAAGTCACCAAGGGATAGAGGGCTGTATAGAATGGACTTAAATCACCATATCCACCCTATATACTGTAAGCCCGTACAGTATAAAATACTCTATAGGGATCCATTATTCTGTATGAGATGTGCTGTCATCTCAGATTAATCTGGGACACAGGCTCATCCACAGTATAAAACACATATTATGGTTTCTATTGTGTTGGTCGATGTTCTGTTTGCTCTTGTTAGTTGTGCGCTAAACAGTCTTACCATACATTTGCCTGCTGTTTAATGAGAACTTTGAGAGTTTTATTTTGGCTTGTGATCACACCTTGTCCCCCCTGCATGAAAACCCATTTAAGTTATTGACGAGCTGACACTGCAGAAATCTGAGGAATCTCAAAACCTGCACAAATAAAACCAAAACTATGCGGATGGCCTGATACTACTGATACTGATACATATAGAAAATATATGTGTTGTAATTTGGGTGAACGCTCTTTAAATGTTATTCATTTTATTCATTTATTTGGAGGTACAGCATTAAACGGTTCAATAAAAACTTTCCATTTTAACTATATTGTATAACCACATGACTCGTATCAATCAAGTATCGCAGATAGTGATATCCCACTCAGCAGCATGTTCAGTCACTGTAAACTAGGCCGCTGACTTGCTATCGATCTCTTGAAAACAAACATTGGTTTCCACAACATGCACCACTCCATCCTATGGTGAGGTAAACATGAGTGGTGTTCTTTGTATCAGACAAAGATAAAAATCTGTGCGTGTGTGTGTGTGTGTGTGTGTGTGTGTGTGTGTGTGTGTGTGGTTGTGAAAGTGTGAGAGCTACGTGATTGAGAACACGTTCTTAATCAGATCATCTGAGCATCTGGCCCACCACGACATCACAGCTGCTCTTTCTCTTGCTGAAATCTTTAGTCAACACTGGCGTTTGAACTGCACCTCTCTGTTGTTATTTCACCTCAAACCTCATTCACTCATCCAAATGTCTAATAATGGTAAGAAAGGAGAACAGAAAATTAGATTTTATCTATAATTATACTACATACCAACAGATATACAACATCCCCATTTTCATAATGTTCTGTTTTGCAGTTGTCCTAGAAATCAATGTACAAACACAAACTTATTGTAGGGATTTCTCCAATAAAACACGTATTCAAAGCCAAAGGAGAGACATAAGTCATACCATAATATACTCAGATCTACATAATTTCAGGTATTATACTTTATGCACAAAATATCAAATAAATCATGCACCAAAAACCAACAGAAAGTGATTGCCTTTACAAACTTTTTCCCTGATAAGGACAAATTTACCCTTATCCTCCAGGCTTTAGCTGGTTAAGTAACAATTGTATTGTGTCGCTCTCAATATAAAGCACCAGAGAAAACTAAATTGATCTTGTTTTTCCTTTTGATGTCTCTCTTTTGGCTTTGTATATGCGTTTTAGATAATTGAGATGATCCATTCTTCTTCCAGGTTGATATACTGCCCTGTTTCTCATTAACTTTATTCACTCATTCATTTCTTCATTCACTTGAATATGTTCCATGTTGTCACCACTGGACCAGAAGCATTCAACATCATGCATTTATGCATTGTGCATTGTGTCAAAATTGCGGTATGATAAAACAACACTAAGCACCTCTCATAAAATTGTACCTGCAACTTCACTTATTACCAGTAGATGTCACTGCAGTACAGCCCAAGCTTCAACCTTGGAGCTCCAGGACACTATATTTGGTTGCTACTTACATTCCCTCTTGGCTATCCGTGAGATGAGAGAAGCATGTCCTTCTCCTGCCCTCAATGCCTTGACAAATGCTTTAAGGTCTACATAGTGATAAAATAGTTAAAGCCAGCCAGCAGCTCTCACAATGATCTCCAGTTGACTCGTGAAGCCAGAGTGTTGCACTAATCTTTGGCGCCAGAGTCGCTAATCTAACCCAATAACTGTAACAGGGTGCTAATCACTGTTTTGGTGGAAAAAAAACCAACCTTGCCAGCTTTTCCATGGTAATCAGGGCACTTAGAGGGCCCCTTGAGCTTGCCCTGATGAGTTTACAGCCGGTGTCAGGCTCAATCAAGGACACCGCTTTATGGTTTTTCACAATAATGAGGCTGAAACCTGAAAATGGGTGTTTTGCATGCCCAATATTCCAGGTAATGACTTATCTGGCCTTTCAGCCTTGTACTGAGAAAAAAAGGAAGAAAAGAAGGGCTTTGCTGCCAAGTGAATTTACAAAAATATTTACAGACATACCTGCCCCTGACTGACTTCATTAAGTGGTATTTCAAATGTGCATGCCTCACATTCTCATCTCATGTTCCAAA